AAGGAGGCGGCGGCCGCAGCGTTACAGAAATAAATCCGGTTTATTCGCGTCAGGTTCCCGTGTCAAACGCGTACAGTACCGGCAGCGGGAGGGATGGGGCCGGGCGGGGAGGGGGCCGCTTTACCGGCGCTGCCGGGGAAACGGGAAGGGGAAACGGGAAGGGGAAACGGGAAGGGGTGGTTTTCCCCAGAGCGGGTCGCCGTGCTTCGCTGTGAGCTGCCGGAGTTGTACATTCCCCTGCAGACGAGCGTGCCCAGCCACCAAACAAACGTTACAGCACCGTTAACAGCAGCCACAGCAAGCTAATACTGCACAACTGTGAAAGTGGATTAAAAAAATACGTATTTTTTCACAAATACCACACAAAACCCTGTTGCACTGTATAATTATCTCCAGGATTTTCTTCCGCTTAGCAACGTAAAGCTTAGTGCTAAAACAAGTCGAAGGACGTGATGAGTGTATTTATTCATTAGCGATCTGACACCCGCTACTGCGAACAGGGTGCTGTGCTGTATCTCCTGAGGAGAAGGGCAGGCGAGCAGGACGGAATTCTCGGAGCCGGCCTCGGCACAGCCCAGCGCTCTGCAGGCTCTCCTCCGCGTGAGAAAGGCAGCGACACGGGGACGGTCCCGCCCGTCTCCCATGTAAACTGCCGTCCGTCCGTCTGCGCAGGTCGGTCGGCCGACTGAGTTTCATGCGCACGCAGAGGTGGTTATTTTAGGTTGCTATCTCCAAAAATTCTTCTAGACTCTTCTTGATGTGCGGTGGCTGAGATGCAGCATGAGTTAACAGACTTTGACCCATCTGTGCAAAAAGTGCTTTCGATAATTTCGCTGTGGCTGTCCGGATATTTCCTCCAGCAACAGGCAAAGAGCCGCTGTTCGTCATGTTTCCCAGGAGGTGCCAAAGGACAACTAGAACTTTTTGCTCCACAGCGTAAGGCTTCCGTGGGTATAGCTCCGTAACAAGATCTGCAAGGAGGACAACAAGTCATCAAGCAGTGTTTGAAGACTATTTTTAAAATGTGATTCAGAAGTGATCCCCTGCTCTGAGACACAGTGTCAAATCATCTTCTCAAAGCAACTAATGAAGGAATGTTTGCTATACAGAAGAGCTTGTCTGCTGTTGCAACAGTATCAGCACTCCGATAAAAAATACCAGCTTTCCCTGCAAACACCCCTTTCATCCTCTCTCAGGAGCTTACACAGTAGCACTGGTACTGCTGATAATCACAATTTTCCATTAAATTAAAACAAGAAACAAAGGGGGTTTTATTTATTTTATTTTAGTTAGGATTGTCCTAAGGAGCTTTATTTCTCACAGTGCGCTGTGTAACATCTGATATTTTATGATTTCCCCTCTATCGGAAATACGCAGCAAGTATTTAAGTTTAAGGAACAAAGTATCCTTATACTATAAATATATATAACACAATGCATTTTCCCCACTTAGACAATTACAAGTATCTCGTTTGCAAATGTTTGCCTTTTTATTAGAATGGACTCTTCTGATACATAATACAAACTACTCCAAAAAATCCCAGCAAGAGGTGAACTGTTTAAAGGTTGCTAACACATTCAGAAAGCATAAATTTAGGAGTATTTCAAGAACAGACTGTCCATTATGTTATTTAGTTCAATTTCATAGCTACTACACACAGAACTACTCTGAAAGTAAGCCAAATAATTTCTCTTTGGCTCAAGCATATTTCCCATAAAGACACCCTTTGTTCACTTAAAACATCAAAGGAAAATTCAGCACTTCTGCTCATAATAATCACCAATATTAAAATATGTATGCAAATTCTGATTAAAATTTGTCTTCATTTTTTTAAGCAAATTTGTCTTTAAGCTTTTGACACCAGTTCAGGAAGAAGACCATTACAAAGTCTGGCATCTTTGCGGTGAGTGCAGCTCAGCTTGCCAGCTTGTCTCCTTTATGACTCAATGCCAATATGTATTATTGAGAGCCTTAAAATGAGAACAAGACCAACTGCGAAAAGCAAAAGGGCACAGAAGTAAAATTTAGGAGTTAGTAGGAGCCAGCCTTAGAGAACAGTATATTTTCTGTGCTGGGAAACCTCAGAAAAAGCAGGCACTCATTCCTTTCATTTATCCCTGGCCAGAGTATGAGGGAATGAATACTGCAAGAGGCAATATGACTTGCAGCAAGTGAAGCAGGCAAGCCTCCGCTCCCCAGTCGGCCCCGCATCTCTGGCCCCTGCACTGAAACAGACGCTTGCCGACCAGGCAGAAGTAGGCCTGTGGGGACCCAAGTCTCAATACAGTACATCCCACTCAGTTACTGATAAGAGTGAAACTCATTACAAACCAAAACTCATTCTTTCTGATTCCATATTAAAATTATTATAAGGTTAGGGTATTTATACACCTTCCAGGTATTTATACATCTTCCATCTGACTATATAATATTAATAATCTTTTGTTTTGTCAGCAGTAGCTTCAATTTGCATTAGAAGGGGGTGAAATTTGACAACTGCTGCATCGTTAATGCCCACAATCTACTGTGACATAAGGGAAGATATATAGCCACCACCATCCTACAATGAATTTGCCTAATTAGGATGGTACACAAACAAACAAATATGCAAAGTGAAACATCACTTTACCAGCAAGCTTTTCTGTCATGTCTTGTTTTGCTTTTCCATTCAGAAACTGGGCTTTTGTGCAGAATGGCTGGAGAAGCAAAGAGTTATCTAAATGCAAAGAACAAAACACATTAAAATTCTTAAACAGAAAATTAAACAGTCTGGAAATAAACACAATATAGAAAAATGTAGATAAGAACCTTACTTACGATATATTAACTTCAAAAACCACAGTGATGTCTTTAAGGGCATAAAAGCATAAAAAGATACTTTTAACAACAAGCCCTAACTCCTAGAATCTGGTAGAACACAGCATACTCATTTACTGAAAATACTAAGATTCTGTTCCAAAGCTAGAATAGTTGAGGAGGGAAAATAGTTGCTGCATACACAAATCAGCAAGAAACTAGTTCTCTGACCTGTTCAAGAGATTCAGCAGTGTGACAAGCTGCTGGATAATGAAACACAGAATCACACAGAATGGCTGAGGTGGGAAAGGACCTCTGGAGATCATCTGGTCTGATGCCCCCGCTCAAGCAGGGCCACTGCAGCTGATTGCCTGGGACCACGTCCAGACAGGTTCTGAGTATCTCCAAGGATGGAGACTCCACAGCCACCCTGGGCAACCTGTGCCAGCAACTCAGACACCCTCACAGCAAAAAAACACCTGCTATGTAAAAATAACAAAACCACCTACGCACTTATGACAAGTCCAGCTAGCTGTATTTCTTTATTGGACTGGCAAAACATTAAGACAACTTGTATGGTTTAAAAAGTGTGAGAATAACTCCAGTGATGCATTACACAATGTAATGATTGGATGGAAACTATTGGAAAGAGTAACTCTTTAAATTTAGACTTACCTAAATGTTGACATAGAGCCTGAATAACGTTTGTGGCAGCTGCATAAATCCCTGCATTTTTGGAGTTCAGGTTGTTGTCTACCATGGCAGGAATTAACATGTTGATCACAGGTGTTAAATTGTCTTTCAGCAATGGAATCATCTTGTGCATTGTCTCCAAAGCAACCTGATTTACTTTACTGTTTGAGTCATGTAAGCGAGACTTGAAAGCATCAAAGATCTGAAAAAATATCCAAACAGCATTCAACGGAATTAACAATTAATGTTTGAGGTGGATATTACATTTCCTGCTTTATAGTTACACTTTAATTGTCCATCTTAGCAAAAGACGGCTCTGATATGCAAATACCTGAGATATTTTTTTTTTAGCAAGTAAAGCAACATTTGATATTTTTATACTGTGTATAATTCAACTGTATCTCACCCCATCTGCATTTGAATCATTCCTATACAATGTAATGGAGGTAAACTAGCCATCTGTAACTTTCAGTATGACTAATATTTTCTGCAAGCAAGTATTTTTAGCAAGACATAGCTCTGTTTAGCAAAAAGAATGTTTTAAAGATTTCAGAAATATTCACAGTTAAGATATTGCAAAGTTCCACAGAAGTATTTCATAGCTCCACAGCAAAGACACTGACTGCACTGTTAGATGACAACCTTGGTTTTCCTTTCATCGTATGTATGCTTAGTTTACAACTGTTGGACCTCATCATAGTATTTTTCTCCTAAAGAACCTCCTTTCCTATTAGAAAGGATATTTACCTTAAGCTGTATCATAATAAAGACCTTTCCTCACCTTCTCCGAGACAAACAAAGCAGGCAGAACTTGCAGCTGTGTTTCAGAGACCGTTTTTCAGATCTTGATTTATCCTTGCTGCTCTTTTTGTAACCTGTTCCAATATTTTGATATTTACTCAGCAGTGGCATGAAAAACTGCACGCAGTATTCCAGAAATAGTTCAATGAGTGCTATCTCTAAGTGAAAACTTTCAGCTTCTTCCCGCTATTTACTTCCTTTACTACCTTTGTAGCTTACATATCTCCCCCTTGAGCATACCTCACCTATTCCTCAATGTTTTCCTGTTAATCAGACATTCTTATTGAAAGAGGGAGCCAAGATCTTTATCAGAAAACTCTGTGACACAACTTTAAAGACCTTTGAAATAAAATGTTTTTATAGAGTTACCTTCACAATGTTTGCAACAACAAAGCCTTGATTGTTCTCTGTATCTGATAAGAGCTGCTTAATGCCATTTATTCGATCACGGAAGTCTTTTGCATTCAATAAACCTATAATGTCTTTAACATATTCTTCACTTTCTAATGAATTACGAGG